GTATATAAGGTCCAAAATTACACTTCAAACTAGGATAGGTTTTGGAGAGGAATGGTGAAAAGAACCTTATCTGGTTATTATTGGAAACTATTCATTACATCTGTCTTTCTGAGCAAATGTCTATAATACAAGGACCTTTCCCCAGGGAACCAGAGGTACAGGGATGGGCTGCACATGGTTCTCCTATGCTCATGGAGTTAACCCATCATTATCACCTCTCCGAGCCAGAGCTGATAATTTCCTAGCTTTCCCCTGCCAACCTTTGCAAGCTGGTACCAAACATACTGCTCTGCTTTCCTTTCGGCGACATCAGTGAGGCTGAGAGGGGGGTCTTGTTGTCCAAGCAGCCCAGGTCCTCCATACACACTGCCCATGCTTGTGCCAATGGGAGGTCACTTTGATGTCATTAGCACAGCAGAATGACTTCGCCCCCAGAGGTGCACTCCATTCTCTCTCAAGACAGATGGATGCCAACAATGCACAAGACAGCAGCAAAATTTCCGGCAACCAAGCTTACCTATCTGACAACAGGCACCAATATTTTTGGTTTCTTAATGGTTTGATTGTTTAATCAGGCTGGGCTGGGGTGGGGGTGAGAGCAAGAGCGAGAGTGGGGTATCTTTTTTCAGCAGTGCTATGGCAGCCTTACCTCACCTACTTCCTCGGAGTCAGTGCATATTTCTTGTTTATCTACAACTGATTTCATTGAATCATAGAATTGTAGAGTTGGTCATTTAGTCCAACCCCCTGCGGCTCAGGATTCTCAGCTAAAGCGTCCATGACAGATGGCCATCCAACCTCTGCTTAAAAACATCCAAGGAAGGAGAGACTAAAATCTCCCAAGGGAGTCTGTTCCACTGCCAAACAGCTCTTCCTGTCAGAAAGTTCTTCCTGCTGTTCAGTCGGAATCTCCTTTCTTGTAACTTGGATATGTTGGTTCAGGTCCTAGCCTCTGGAGCAGGAGAAAACAAGCATATGCTTTACCTTTTAGTGAGCACATGGGATTTAGTTGTTATGCCGATCCTGAGCATTTTGGACATTCTATAACAAGATCTATCTCCTCCTTAATGTCTTTTCCTGCACAATGTTCACATTGATAACCTCAAAGCACCTGCTAAGGGAGGAGATACTTCATCTCTCTAGGCACCTATTTTGGTCTGAGCCACAAAGAGGCTTGGGTCAGGGCTTCCTGATCCCAGCCTGCCAATCACTTGGGTCTTATTCTACACCGTTTTGCCTTACCCTGCACTTTATCACCCCACAAAGGATTTGCTTATTTTCCACCCCAACATCAGGGGTTGTTGCCTATTTAAAATGCACTCTTGTCTTCAGCATGCACCTACATACATATATTATTTCCTAAGACATATATACCCCTCTCCAAAATGGAAACAATTCTGTATGCATAAATTTAGAGGATTAAAAATATGTGTTTGGATTTCCTGTTTGCTTAGAAAGGATGGTAATTTCATAATATTAACTTAAAGGATGTATTGCAAGTTATTTCAGAAAGAAAGAAAATGCAGGGAGCAAATCATAGAGCAAACAAACATGAAATGAGAGAGAAGTTGGTATATAACAGTAAATGAAGGGTGTGTTTGGGTGTGTGGGTGTGGGTGGGTGTGAAAGAGAGATTGACTGGTTAAACAACCAAAAGGTAATATTTGCAGAAACTAATATGTAGAGGGGGATTTATTTTTCATGGCAAGCAATATCCAACTGAAGGTTAAGTTTTGTCCTAAGTTGTCCAAAAATGGGGTATTCCATAATTATACATAATTTTACATTTCTTAATGTAAAAACAACCACAATAGGTTTTTTTGGCAAAAGGATTATAGAGAAATCTGAAAATGTCATACATTTTTTCTCTCTAGAAATCCTATTCTCTAACCCCTTATTCACATATTCAGCTTAAGCCAAACCTTATGCACATTCATCCCTTGTACTCAGGCCTCACCTCCTTCCTTTTGTTACCTCCTGTATTGTAAAAAGTTTAAACGTAACCTCCTGGATTTGGAATGGGAGGAAGCGAGCCCTATGCCAGCAAGCTGCAGTGGGGAGGAGCAGCAGTAGCAACAACAGCCAGTCACCACTCACCTGCCTGCTTCTGTACAACAACCTTCCAGACATCCTGTGTGGAGAAGCAGCCAGTCCCACTTAGGGGGTGTGGCCAGGGCAGAGCTTGCAAACTTAAGGGGCTGGAGGGGTGAGAAGACAGAGCAGCAAAATTGGGGGTGAGAAGGGAAGCATTCCTTGAGTTGCTCGGTGATCAGGTGTTCTTCAGATGCTGCTGGGATTGGCATAGGCTAGGCATTGGACTGGTGCCTGGGACAAGGGAGCTGCAACTACAGCCTAGGCCTGTTACCGTGGCAACAGGGATGCTTCTCCACTTCAACAGGAGAAAGGACCATTTTGCATGGCTCTGCAAGGGGCTAAAAGGCATGCATAGAAGTAACAGAGCCAGGATAATTCATCCCACAGCAGGGTGTGCACTAGTTGGGGTAGCTCTTTTTCAGACTCTGCATCCATAGTTGATTTCAGAGATCCTGAGCCCCAGGCTGACAAACACTGACACAGGTTCTGATAGAAAGCATCTAAGAGAGAGAGGGCAAGTGCTCCACTCTTCCTTTCTCCATCCCCAGACATGCCTGGAGGTTATTCCTCTAGTATTCCACTGGACTGATCTGATGGGGCGAATAATTTTTTAACATGTGTTTTCTTTTTCTGGCTCTGCATGGAGAAAAAAAGGGGGCAATTGATTTGTTGAACTGGAAGGGGGTGCGGTGGGGGCTCCATAAAAGCTGGAGAGTGGTCGGATGCCCTTCCTCAAGTCTTTGTCCCCAAATCAGTGCAGATTCACGGAAGGAAGTGGGACCCTATGCACACTTTGCTCACTTGGGGCATAATCAAATAGGAAAGGGAGCTCAAGGATCCAGCCAGCCAGCCATACCTTTTTTTTTCTGGATATTCCAATCCATCCCCCACTCTCCCCGGTTTTTTATCTGCCCCCTCCAACAGTCAGCTTATTTTCCATGGCCACTGAGTATGCCCAGTCCACACTGACCTGCTTTGGGGTCTCACAAAATTCTTAGCGGGGTTAAAGATGTTGTTTTTTGTTTTTTGCTTTTTTGTACTTCTGCAGATCTTGGGGTTTGCACAAGCCTGCTGATACCTGCCTGTGGTGAGTGGAGGTGTCATTTCTGCCCGCCTAAGGTTCATCTCTTGGAGAACGAGTTTGCTATTAGCATCTAGGATCTCCAGAGCTTTGCCTGAATATATTTACACTGCTGGATGGGAGGCAATCGCTGCCAATTGCCATATCTGGAGCCACCTGTGACGGCACCGCTCTACTGCCATTTGTGTCCCTGCTTATTGGCAATGCATTAACCTCTGGATGAAATGTTAAGCCTGAGCAACTACGCAGTGGCCTTTATCCCATCTGCGGTGATTGCTAAGTATTTCAGTGGGTTATGTTATTTATTCAGCACATTGCTAATGTCAGATTACAATGGGCCCCCCATCTGGAAGAGGAAGGGCCCCTCAGCATGAGGCTGGTGTGAGTTCATTATAAATCAGTGCTGCTTGGATAAAGTATATCCACGGAGACTATCTAAGCAGTGACCTTCATACAAAATGTATCACATCACATTTTCCATGAAAATAATAATAAACACAGTAAGCAGTAAACAAAACAATCAGAATGTGTCTTGGAAATAAATGAAGAGAGTGGGTGATAGATGGTAAGCTATTAAATGTACATTATGGGATGGGATGCATGCAACCAAGGACAATTTCCTCCTCACAAAAAAACATATAATTATGCAGTTTATAAAAACAGCAACAGGACGATCAGCAATGAAGGCATAATGCATGGATATGCCACCAGAAACCCTCTTGGTGACTCATTCACATGTTAGCTTTGTCGCTCTTATTATCCCAAGCAAAACATTGCAGGAATATGTCCAAACATAGCAGGGACATTTCGTGTGGCAGCACATTGCAAAGAATGAGAGCTGCACAGAAACACACCTGCGCTGGGGAGTGCTTAGAGAAAAAGGTGACTTACGGTGGGGGACACACACAATAGTGGTTTATAAAGTTATTGATGAATAGTGAGGAGAAAATAGATGGAGGGTGCATTCAGACATGGGGGATATTGTTTTACTTTTCCTCATTATAATGCTAGAGCTTCTGTTACAGTTTCCAGTATTCCTCTCACATGGCAGTACCTGTTGCGTTATAAAATTGTGCATTTTTGACCGATATACCAACTTGCTGTGCTAAATTCCATCACTGGACAGTGTCACCTTATCCCAGCCTTTCCAAACATGTGTGCTTCTGTTCCGCCATGACCCCCCCCCCTCCACGAAAACAGCAGGAAAGAACTACATGCTGGTATACCACCCTCAAATTTTGTCACTTTACTCCCATGATTTTCTGAGTTAAGGGATCCGCAAATACATCCCCCCCCCCCCCGGCCGAATCAGATAACACGGAAATGGGTGCTAAATATGTGCTATATTACATTAGCTTTCTGGAAGCTTTCAGGTGAAAGCTCAAATATGCTGTGGAAATTAACGGTTAGGGAAATGTCAGGGAAATGGAATAATTTGCTGTGTGAATGCAGCCAGAGACACACTTTTCTCACTCTCCCATATTACTATAACTTGGGATCTCTTGGGGAAATTGATCAGCTGTAAATTCAGGACAAACAACAGCAAGTACTTTAAACAACACAAAACTGATGGATGGAGCCTGGGGAGCTGCTGCATCTCACATCTGCCACAGCATCGCCTGCACCTGCCTTCACCATCCTGGTGACTTCCAGATGTTTGGGACCACAGTTCCCTTCCTCTAACAAGGCCATGCTATCTTGGCTTGGTGGGGATTGTAGTCCAGAACAACTGGAGGGCACCAGGTTGCCAAAGGCTGGTTTAATTATTTTTTTTTTAATGAACTCTTTTCCACTTTTAAAGCAATCATAGTTTTTTAGGGTGTAAGTCTCACTGGGTTGGCTCAATCAGTAAAGCATGAGACTCTGGATCTCAGAGTCGTGGGTTCGAACCCCCCATTGGGCAAAAGATTCCTGCATTGCAGCGGGTTGCACTAGATGACCCTCGGGTCTCTTCCAACCCTACGATTCTATGAAAGGCTTTAAAACAAAATATCAAGCACTCTGCATCCGGCTTGCCATGCTTCAATCAAAGCCCAGGGGAAAGCAGCCCAAAGGCATGTTACTAGAACCCTGATAGCTGTGGCCAGGTTATCATTGTGCAGGAAGGGGCAAAGCTGGTACACCTGCAGCTTTTGAGATTTGGTTCAGGGTTTGGAGAGTCCGTCTCTGAAAGTCTTTCCTGATGTCCCAGTGCAACTGTATTTCTACATCTGGTTTATGGGGGTTTGGGGCGTCTGCATGACATCTGGATCCTGAGGTCTTTCCTCAGTGCTGTCACAAACCACCCATGGGAAGTGGCATCAAACTGCACTGTCAGTTGCAACTTCCTATCTTACCCCCTATAAAAAGTCAAGGGATGTTTTCAGCTTGCTACCATTTTTAAGGGCTAAGAACTTGAGCTTTTGCACAGAGTAGCACCTTTCCATGTCAGTCAAGCCTCTCTGCCAGCAGAGGCAATTACCTGGATTCTTGCGCTTGTGTCTAAATCAACACTTAACCCTGCCAAGATGGCATCAATTAGCAATATATATGGCCACTTCCAGGCAGCAACTGAGAAGTTGTTAGCTTTTCTTTTATGGTTTCAAGGGCCTTCTGACAATTGTCAGTCCATTGCTCTCTCCATTCTCTCCCTGTTTCCTGTTTCCTGACTATTAGGAATGATGTTAAACGTCTAGCAATAGCTGAATTTTTATCCTCACCAGAACCTTGGGAGGTAGGTTAGGCTGAGAGACTATGACTGGCCCATGGTCACCCAGTGAGCTTCATGGCTTTGTGGGGATTTGAACCCTGGTCTCTCTGGTCCTAGTCTGACACTCTAACCATTACACAACACTGGCTCATGCTGTGCTAGTGTGTTCCATAAGCTCATTTTCTGTTGTGCAAAATAAGTGCTTCTGCTTGTCAGCCTTAAGCCACATAGCCAGGTGGTTGTAGCATCTTTCCCTGTGGACAATAGAATTTATCCAGGGAAGGAGGGGCATGGAGAAAAGACATGGGGCTACTACAGACACCAGGCTCCCCAGGTGGTTGCTTGCCAACTACAGTTAATTTACTCCTTAGTAAATGGTAAATGTCTGCATTTTACTCTACGTTGTGCACTTTCCTAGCTACAAAAAGGCTTCCAAACAGTGGCAAAGGCCCTCTGGGCATTTCTGCATTGCACGCTGTTCTGCGGCTATAATGATCTGATTGCACATGCAGGCTGTTCGGTGAACGAGGACGCTGTTCATTATTTATTTTTAGCCTCCGTGTTCCGTCATTCAGTGCTTTGCCTCGTTCGTTGCAACCCATCCAACTTGCGAAATGGATTTCTATATTGAATATTATCAGGCAGCGGCCATATGTGATTTCCCTTTTCTTAATGCTAATGAATCTAATAGCATGCTATTATCAGGATTCCTTTATAATGTACATTTTTATGGATGGGCTGCTAGGCAAATCTTTGTTAACGAAAACGAGGAGATAGGTGTGCTAGGTATGCCAAGCAATGATCTAGCTTAATGTATTCTTTAATTGTTCGTCAGTAATTAATGGATTTGGATGGTTAGGTGGAATTGAACTAGATTGATATAATGGGGCGGGGGAGAACCTCCTGTTTTGAACAGGACCTGTAAAACATGGTGATTTTTGTGGATTCTTTTCGGTGCATAACCTTTTGCAACTCTGTGCTAGATTTCAGGGGACATATTGATCTTCAGCTCAACAGTGTTGCAGATATTCTCACTGCTACACCTGCAGCTCGGGCAAAAGTCCCTGTGAGCAAAGGCTGCAGCATTTGAGGTGAGTAAGAGAGGACTTGAAGGAAGTGCATAAAAGAATGGCATGGAGAAAGTGGGCAGAGAAATGTTTGCCTCCCTTTCTCATAATGCTATAACTTGTAGACATCCCCTGAAGCTGAATGTTGGAAGATTCAGGACAAAAGAAACTATGTCTTCACAATAGTACATTAACTATGGAACTCGCTCCCATAGGAGACAATGGTGGCCACCAACTTAGCTGACTGAATAAGAGGGAAAGGCAATGGCTAAACCCTGATGGCTATGTTCTGTTTCTACTGTTGGAGGCAGTAATGCTTCTGAACAGGGGCGTAGGAGGGGGGGGCAGGGTCAGTCTGCCCCTGGTTCCATCATGGAGGGGGGTGACAAATTCTCAAGGAACAATTACTGCCCTACTAGGGCGGTTCATAAAAAACTTATTTTTAAAAAATGCCTGCAACAAAGGTCTTATCTTACTACACTAGGGATTATATAGCTGTACATGAAATTTCATGCATATCAGTTAATATATTGACCCTCCTCCACGAAAATAGCTATTTACTTGGCCGTTTTCCTATGTCGTGAAGGTTGAAATTTCAATTCAGTGAAGCACTTATTGTTCCCAACCCTAACCCTCTAATTAGACTTTAATTTGATTTTGACATGTTTTTAGGAGGTAATTTAATTATTGTTTGATTTTATACCAATGTTATGTATCTGATGTTAGCCGCCCTGAGCCCGACTTTGGCCGGGGAGGGCGAGATATAAATAAAAGTTGTTTATTATTATTACTTATTATTATTCCTTTGTAAGAAAATATGAAATAACGTAAAACCATTTTTGCAGGCAAAAAAAAAAAAATCAATGGGGGAGTGACAAGAAATTTTCCGCACTGGGTACCACCTGACCTCCCTACGCCTCTGCTTCTGAATGCCAGTTGCTGAAGACTGCAGGAGATGAAAGATGCTCTTGTGCTCAGGTTCTGTTTAAGGGCTTCCTGTAAGCATCTGGTTGGCCGCTGTGAGAACACGATGCTGGACTAGATGGGTCCTCAGCCTGATCCAGCAAGCTATTCTTATGTTCTTATGTCTTGGATCTTTCCAGTGCTGTGTATGCATCATTTAGTTACTAAAAGATGCTGGACATCTTTAAAAGGCTATCAACGGCTACTTAAAGCAAAACTGCATCAAGAGGAGGCTGCAGGACATTCAAAGGTGCAGGAAAATGGAGCAGATGTATATTGTAGCATTGTTTGTCCTCACAACAACAGTCCTTTGTGGCACATCAATATAATTCCTGTTTTACAGCTGGAGAAACTGAGAGGGAGGGACTTGTGACAGCCACCCAATGCATCACTTGAGACACAATTCTTCCAGTTCAGATTCCAATACTCTGTTCCCTGAAAGCCCCCAAGTATTGCTTTTTCTGGAGACCTGCTGTGTGAAACATCTAGAGCTTTGCTGAATGTTCTACTGAGCATTATTATACAGAGCTTGTGGGGAGTTCAGACTCTGAATGAAAGCATCCCCTAATAGCAGTTAGGAGGCCTTGTTCATCTGTAGCATTCTATTTGCCATCCTCTGGATTCCAGCCCCTGTTTCTGATAACCTTATCAAAGCTTTTTGGGTGTTTTGCACCTGCTTCAGGTTGCAATCTAATGCACACTGACCTGGGAATAGAGTTCCAAATAAACGTGCATAGGATTGCAATGGACACATTTCTTTGCATTTGTGTTCTCTTTCCATTCATTGCTGGCTTTGCTCATTATTCAGGGAAATGTAGTGGATCCAGCTGATGTTAATCAGCATGAGGATAGAAGTCTGCTCTGGAATCCAAAACCTCTCACTGGTTTTGAGGCCCTGAGCTGCCAACCAGTTTCCTCTGTCTCAGCAGCAGAGGAGCTGCACTATTCAGTCCTGCCTCCCTTTGTTCCACAGCACCCACAATAAACAGTGCATTTTGCTTCCACGCCAAGTGTGTATGTGTTCAAAGGTTGAAATTGCTGGAACGAGACACTCTGATGCCCCCTATAAATGAGCAGTCCCTGCCCTCTCCCTCTCTCACTTGCTGTTTTCAGAAACTCAACAGCGGTCTTGGATTTGAGAGGTAAAAAAAAAAATCTAAGTGTAAAAAAGAACCCTTTCCCCAAATTTAATCAGTAAGGGTCACTTAAGTGACATGCCAAAGATAACAATGACAGCCATCCAGACCGTAGCAGCTTCTAATGGAGCAATGCTGCCATCTACGGACAAACAGAAATAAAGACAGTCTCCTCACTCCCATCAAGGCCAAAGACCTGCCACAGAGCTTGAAACAAAATTCCTAAATGAATTTTAGCATTTTAATACCTATTGCTGGGTGCTAATGCTTGCGTTTCTACTGCCTTGATTCCATTTAATTTAAACAGTTATAATATTATTCCCTATTGTCCTATAACTGTCCAAGTCACACCATTGCTCTATTGAGATAAGTATGGTCTACTCTACACTGACTGGATTCATCTCTCCAATTGGGTATGTTTAGCCTGGTAAAGAGGAGACAGAGAGGAGATATGATAGCCATCTTCAAATGTCTGAAGGGCTGCCTATCACATGGAAGATGGAGCAAGCTTGGTTTCTCCTTCTCCAGAGGGTAGGACCCAAACCAACGGATTCAAATTATAAGAAAGGAGATTCTGACTGAACATCAGGAAGAACTTTCTGACAGTAAGAGCTGTTCAACAGTGAACAAACTGTCTCAGAAGGTGGTGGGCTCTCCTTCCTTGGAGGTTTTTAAGCAGAGGTTGGATGGCCATCTGTCGTGGATGCTTTGGCTGAGATTCCTGCATTGCAGGGGGTTGGACAAGATGACCCTCAGGGTCCCTTCCAACTTTCCAGTTCTATGATTCTATGTACAAATGCAAATTTAGACATAAATGCCATGATTTAAATAGAAGTATAATACATCTCACCATAGTGGGGAAGACCCTGACCAGGTGCTAACTCTTTATGGGCAACTTTAAGGTCCCTGCTGCTCTCCCCACTTAAGGTTGTTTATCTTAAGAACATAAGATGAAGCTGCTGTATCAGACCAGTGGCCCATCCAGGCAAGCATCCTGTTTTCACAGTGCCTGTGGAAAACCCTCAAGCAGGACCCGGGCACAAGAGCA